ACAAACTTTGACCTACGGTCAAGGCGATGGAGCTGAGACCGAGAACAGTTTTAACAATTATCAAATTGGGAATAATGATGGTTACGGGCAACAGATGTACGGAACACAAGAGGGAATGGGAGGTTATGGACAACAAGGTTGGTAATAAATAGTAAAAAGACTTATTAGTAATAGGACTTAATACTTTTTTTTTATTTATTGGCTTTTGAGATATATCATAAGACCAGATACCATTCATACAATTGTTTACTACAAATTCTTATTGAATAATTAACTTATAAATTAATTTTAGTATTATTAATTTTAGTATCTTCTGATTGAATATATATTTATCATATGCTACTAGTGTTTATACATTGATTGGGAAAATAACATTTTCTTTGTGTAAATTTATTGAAGTAAAACTTCTTTAGGCGCGACATGGGTGTAAAAACTTCTTTAGGCGCGACACGGGTGTAAATCCGTACAAATGCAACGAAAACGCCAACGTGAAGTTGAAGACTACGACGCTAGTAAGCGCAGCTATCGCAATTATTCGATCTAGTCTGCGAGCAAAACAAAAAATACATCAAATGTCAAATCATCATATGTCAACAACAAAACAAAATGTGTCGACTTTCACTTGACTTTTATATTTAGCTCGTAGTCTCTAAACATTTTTTGAAGTAAAACTTCTTTAGGCGCGACATGGGTTAGCAGTATAATTCGTGAGTTAATAAAAATGTCAGGATCGGAAGAATATTTTATCCCGTCCCCCATAAATAATTGTAGTGCAAATGATCGCAAATAAATAATGAAACTAAGGAAAAATCTGCGCTGCGTAAGAAATGATAGCTTTGGCTATGTATGTTTTGTATGTGATCGACTTTGGCTTCAAAGTGACTTAGAAATATCAAATGATGCTCAAAAACAAATTCTTAATAATGTTTTTTAATTTTGATTTTTTTAATATTGATTTAAATAATCAGGTTGAATGTCAAACTTGTCGAAAGATATTAAATTCGGGTAAAATTCCCACTTTGTGTAAGTTTAACGGGTTTGTTTTTCCATCTATACCAAATTATCTACCTAAACTAGATACTGTATCTGAAAGGTTAATTTCACCTAGGTTGTGTTTCATGCAAATTAGACGATTGCGACATGCAAATGGACAATTTGGAATGTTTGTCCAAATTATAAATGTGCCTGTTGACATTAATAATATGGTTAATTTATTACTTCGTAATATTGATGATGATCATTGCATTAACGTCCACATGAAAAAGCAAATGATTCATAGATCAAGCTATGTTCAGGGCTTGATAAATAAAAGAAATATAAAAGTATGGCTTCAATTTGTTAGGCAAGACGGATATTACAGCTGTTCAAGGAATGAGATTATATCGTCAGCGAAAAAGTAAAAAAATACAAACAGTAAATGAATGTATGTTAATTTTAATTACATAAAGTTCTTCAAACACAATTGTTACAGGATGAGTTAATTTGCAAAAAACAATATTGTTTAGGCGTTGTTTAACACAATCCACTGTGTGAATGAATATTACAGAATTTATTAATCAGCAATTACTTTAAAACAATCATGTCATATTTCAAGTACGACTTGATACATTATTGCTTGTAAATATTATACATATTTTTAATGTAATCATAAATATATAATTTATAATTTATTCATATATAAATGTGTATAATGATTAACGACACAATAAATGTGTGCATCACGAGTGTTACCATATTACTAATAAATTTATTCAAAATTTTTATATGATGTATTTATTTTTACTCAACTTAAATTTGCTACAATATAATTGCAAATAAGTTTTACTTCAATCGCGTGTGATCCTTACGCGCACTCTTTTTTATTATTATAACTTATTACTTATAACATTATTTGATATCGGCATTTATATATTTTCATTTTGTTTTAGATGCTACTCAGATTTTAGATCATCAAAATACTACTGAACCGATCAATCAAACTTATGCTTCTCCTACGGAACAGGAGTCTTATTGGACTCACCAGCAGACTTATCAGCTTGATGTAAGTTTTTAATGTTTTTTATTTATATAATTTTGAGTGTCAGTTTTTGTCAAAACAAAAGCTCAATTTTGTAATTGTAAAATAGACCTTGAATTGCATGGACTGCTAGTCCTCGTATGTTTTCCGTTGTATATAGTGCTCAACTGTGACGTCACATGTCTGAGCGAACATTGCCGACGACAATCGCGGAATATCTCATATGCCTAACATAGGTCTTATAATACATAAACAGGTGCATTCGATTTTATGCACATTAGTAATATTATCATTTCTTGCAAAATTATCAGCCGTCACAATTGCCATTATATCATTAAAATAAAACATACAACATATTACATTTTATCAATCAGGAGAGTCCTCGATTGTCGTCGGCAATGTTCGCTCAGACGTGTGACGTCACAGTTCACTTTTATGTTTGAGCACTTATTTTGCGCTCGATTAGCAGTTCATGTAGTATAAGGTCTATGATTTCAAGAAAATGCATGTTCGAAAATTTCTAGATTTATTTTTGAGAACGACTTTAGTAAACTAGCTGTTAGTGTCATTTAGCCTTAAGGCAAGTTGCATGAACTTTCTGCCATGTGTAAATCATAAGAAATCAATATATTAATTTCTGCACCTTAATATAAGAAACTTTTGCAGATTAATCAATTTTGCACTATTTTTGTCCTTACACATTATTCAAAAACAAACACGTACCAAATACGTACACGGAGTATTTTCTAAAAGCGCATTAAATATTAATTAATCTTTATAATTAAACCACTGGACTACAGCTGCCCTACAATATTTTAGTATGTTTATTACGACTATGTACTCTATCGTCATACAGAAAAAACTAAAATTTTCGATAACTTTCATTTATAATTACGAAGAAACGGCTCGGCCTATCTTTGTCCAAAATTAATCAGCACGACTCGCAAATAATATCTGGAATAGTTTTTGAATTTTTAAAATCGCTTCAGAATTTTTGGCCGAAACAATGGACCGACAATTTTTCACTTTTTTGCTAATTACGAAGAAACGGCTCAGCCGATCGTATTAAAAAACTAACCAACGCTAATTAGTATCAAATTTTACGAATGGCTTTTAAATTTTTGAAATTGTCCTAGTCGTTTTTGAAAAAACATCGATGAAATGTTTAATTTTAGCAAACGCTGCTCATTTTTTTTAAACTTTGATGAATTTTTAAAATTATATGCCATAGGGTTGTTATATTTTAGTATGTTCTATAAGATCATGGTAAATATCGTCAAAAAAAGTTTCACAAAAATCGTCGATTTTTTTTTAAACATTTAATCCATTTAATTACAAGAAAACAGCCCGGCCGATTTTTACCAAATACTAACCAGTATCATTCCCAACCAACATTTTCTGAATATTTTTTAAATTTCTAAAATCGATTCTTGGGCTAAAACGTGGACGAAAACTTTTACACTTTTATGCTCAAAGAAACGGCTCGGCCGATCGTCGTACAAAACTGAGAAATACTAATACTTATCTAGTTACATGGAACGGTTTTGAAATTTTTAAAATCGGTGCACCTGTTTTGACAAAACGTCGACGAAAGGTCAAAAATCGACTTATATATATTTTTCCTTAAATTTGGTCTCATTCGATTCAGAATGGCTTGAAACGTCGAGAAAACATAAAATTAGCGAATCTGATTTTTTTATGAAAACATAAAATTAGCGAATCGGATTTTTTGATGAAAACATCTCCTTCGGAAAGTTAATAAAAAAAAATTTGTTAAAAAAATTAAAAAAAGGGTTAAAGAATAGTAACTCTTAATAAAAATACTTAATAAGTTTGTTAAAGAAAAAATTATGTTTTTCTTAAAATAAAAACACTTCAGTAAAAACATTCACTCACTAAGAGTGTCATGAAAATTGGTTCGATTCGATATCACTAAATAGAGAATTGTGGTAAAAGTGTGAAAATTTAGGGCTGCATGTTTTTTTTGTCTTTGCGCCTTATAAAAAAATCATTAGGAAAATTGAACAAAAAAAATAAAAGAGATTCGCCAACCGATTTTTTGGTGAAAACAAGAACTTGTTATAGAAAAATTTATGTTCTAAGTAATCAAAAACACTTTGCTCTCACTAAGAGTGTCATCAAAATTGGTTCGATTCGATATTACTAAATAGAGAATTGTGGTAAAAGTGTGAAAATTTAGGGCCGCATGTTTTTTGTTCTTACGCCTTATAAAAAAAATACAATAGGAGAAATTGGAAAGAAAATAAAAAGTAAATAAAAAAGATTTGCCAACCGATTTTTTGGCAAAAACAAGAACTTCTTTGGCTTTCATTGAAATTTTATCTTGAGAAGCATGTCTATTATCTCGTCGTAGTAGCAAGATTGTCGTCGCTAGTTATTGTCTATAAATGTTGTCCTTCACCTTGATGTGTAGTTAGCACAATATATTTCTATATCATTTTGATTCATAAATTTCCTTTTTACTGGAAATGCAGCATAAGGAAGAAGTTTCCGATAGCGAGCAAATTAAGGAATCTAAACCAACCGAAACTGATCTCGAGCAAAAAGAAACCGAAGTTGTAAGTAATAACCTTCGAAGAAGAAATGTCCGTAAATGTGATAAATCTCATAGCAATATTTGTACAAATTCACTAGATATTGGTCTTCCGGACAAACCTTGTATAGATAATTTCAATCCTTTATCCCATGTGCCTTACGAGTTTCCTACTGAAGATTTAAATCCTAAATTCTTTGATAATTTCTTCAATGATGTTTTACCCTACGAATTACCATCCGATGCCAATTGCATCAGACGAAAGGCAAAATCTAGATCCCCAGATAGATTTAGGCGAAATGTTATTTTGGAAACTGTAGATGCCTGGTCTAATTTAGAAGATAAATCAGAGTCTGGTGATTTAGGTCTGGGTGATGCACTTTTGTTAAAGCCTCTAGTTTTTGGCGGTACTTTTCCTATAGATGCACCTACTGATGTAACTAAACGCAATAATAATAATAGTAGTAATAGTTTTAGTAATGATAGTAGTGACGAGTCGCATTTGGAACCGGAAATTTCGGATAAGAAGTTTAAGGAGATTTTAGATCAATTTAAAGCTGATGATAAGGATGATAAGGATTGTGTAGAGTATCCCAGGACTTTTGATATAGATGCTCCGTTTTGAACTTATGAGGGGTATAGTAAGATATCACGTGTATTTATGTTTCACCTGATTTTTTTTTAAAAAGAGTGCGCGTAAGGTTCACACACGATTGAGGTAAAATGTATTTGCTACTGTACAAGATGGCATTTAAGTAAAAATGAATACATCGTATAACAATTTTGAATAATGTTTATTAGTAATATGATAACACTCGTGATGCACATATTTATTAGTGTCAACCATTATGCACATTTATATAATGATAAATCATAAATTATATATTCATAGTGGCATTAAAATATGTATACTATTTAGAAACAATCATGCAATTAAAGTCATACTTAAAATATGACATGATCGGTTTGTCATTGCAATTAGCATTTAAAAATGAATCATTAGAGAAATGAAGTAATTGCTGATTAATAAATTCTATAATATTCGTTCACACAGTGGATTATGTTAAACAACGCCTAAACAAATATTGTTTTCGCAACTTTACTCATCATGTAATTGTGTTTGAAGAACTTCCTGTAATTAAAATTAACATACATTCATTGGCTGATGGTATTTTTTTTAACTTTTTCGCTGGCGTTATAATCTTATTCTTTGAACAGCTGCAATATCTGTCTTGCCTAAAAAGTATTTTCCATTTTAATAACTTCAAATATTTATAGTAACTACGAGTAATATAGAAATAATTTCTAATCAATAAACTTATGCTTAGTACACGGCACAAATGTTTAATTATTTTGAAGGAACAGGGTAAAATATTCTTTTGATTCAGGCATTTTTCATGAAATCAAGATTTGTACTACGATGTAACTTTAAGATGTTTATTTATCTGTGACGATTGCCTTGTTGATATCGGTACGCATACAACGTTGATGCCGGTACGCATACAACGACAGATTTCTATTCACATACACGACGACTATTCACAATCGACCCGTATAGAAATGATATCATCGAGAGCGAATGATGTACAGTTCGGGTGTAACGCAATTTTCGTTGCATTTGTACGGATTTACACCCTAGTCGCGCCTAAAGAAGTTTCATTTCAAAAAAATTAATATTTTACTATTTTTTCTCGTAACTAAAATACACGTGATGTTTGTTGGGGAGCAGGGGTTACTTTTAATATTACCACGTATCACCAAGGTGAACGGGGGTTCCAAAAATCCTTAAAAAATCGATCACGTGATTAAAGACGCCTCCTTACCATAACATTTCTATTTTATCGGAGAATTGGCCGCTAATCGGAAAACGGCAGCTTGGGATAACAAATAACAAAATGGCGATGCGTTAAAACAAAATGGCGGAGCGTTAATACAAAATGGCTGAGCGTTAAAACAAAAAGGCGGAGCGTTAAAACAAAACGAGGGAAAATAGTATAATTAAAATAAAGTAGTACAAAATACAAAAACGATATAAAAAATGAATATAAAATGTGCTTTCAAATTAGAAAAATATTTCATTTTTATGTTATAAATAAAGTATTGTATTAATATTTTATATTTTTGCCAATACACACATAGCGAGTGCTCTTAAATTTTTGCAATATAGAAATAAGCTTATTGAACACCTAATTTAGTATTTAAGTTAGTCCATTAGCTATAGTTACTATGATAAATAAATAATTACATATTTAATAAATCCACATTTCTTCTGACATTTTTATCATAACAACAAAAAGTATATATGGTTTTTCATATGTCAGGAGCAAACTGAATATGCTATGTACTTTAAACTTTAAACAAATTAACAACAAAGCATTTATAATCAAAGATATATTTTTATTGAATTCTTATTTTTTTCAACGAAGAAATTTGTTTTTTCGTGAATTGTCCTTTTTCTGTGGTTAAGATGACACACATACAGCGTCGAAACGTTTGGCATTTTCATCATATGCTATGTTCTTTAAATTTTAAACAAATTAACAACAAAGCATTTATAATCAACGATATACTTATATAGTTTTTTCAACGAAGAAATTTGTTTTTTTTGTGAATTGTCTTTTTTCTCTGGTTAGGATGACACACATACTGCGTCGAAACGTTTGGTTTTAAAAATTTCAAGAATTCACGTATAAGCATACGAGAAAGAGACAGATTGATGATGCGCGAGATAGATAGAAACAGAAAGAGATAGACAGACGGAAGGCAAAATAGATAGAAAGAGAAGGAGATAGATAGATGGAGAATGAAATAGATATAGAGAAAGAGATAGATAGATGAAGAGAAAAATAGATAGAAAGCGATGGAGATAGATAGAGAGAAGGAGATAGATAGATGAAAAGCGAGATAGATATAGAGATGGAAAAAGATAGGGACATAAGTATAGAGTGAGAAAAAGTTGCGTAATTTATGGACGTCTTCTCCACGATTTTGTATGTTTTTTCCTTTTTGTTTAATATTTTTCAGATCACTCTTCATTATTGTTAGATATTGAAAATATTGTAAATGCATTATTAGAGTACAATTGTTTATAACAAAATGTGATATTAGATTTGGTAATAAATGTCAATTATTTATTGCAAGCCGGTTGATTGATTTATTTTATGTTGGTTTTGTTTTTGTTTCTTACATTTTTTTCATGATTTTTAAACCTTTGCATGTAAATAGACACCAAATCTCACATCACAGAGACTTTTCCAAAAAATTTAAATTAATTGAAAAATAAACAAATTTAAAATATTGGTTGTATGTTATAAAGAAATTTAATATTTTAATTACGGTTGTTTTGTTTTTGTGTTGTTCAATTTCTTGGTATACATTTTTTCTTCGAAATGTGTGAACCAAACTTCCAACTAGTTGTGTATGGCATAGTGCCTTAATGCAAATTGCTGGAACTTCTCATACCGTAATGAAATATTCGAGAAATTTTAAACGTTTTCAAATATATTATTACAACTACTGTAACTTTCATTATTTTTGCTATCTTGTTATATTTGAGCAAATCAAATGTAAATTATAAAAAAATCAATTTATCTCCAGAACATTAACAATCGTCATTTTATTTCGAATTCAATTAAAAAAAATAATTGCTTTTAGTCGACACAAGTCACAGCCTAGTCACAGTCTAAACGCATTTTCAAATAATTCTGTGCGATATTTTCACTTATACTGTGCTTAGTATGGCGGCATTTTCACATTTTTCAATATTTTTCACAGTGCTCCAGTACATAAACATTCTAAACGCACCTGGGTAAACATTTGTGCCAGAGTGGCGCTTAGACTGTGCTTAGTCTGGGTAATTTTTTTATATGAATTTTTAATCCAAAATTACAAAAATATTTTATGGAAATTAAAAAAGATGTAATAATTTTTTATCCTCAAAAGCAATTGTTTTGTCAATACAAGCAGAAAGTCGCTTAGTTCACTCAAAACCTGCCATTATTTGCACATTTAGCTTGGTATCTCTGAAACGGCTGGGCCTGCCCTTGCCAAAAAACTAATCACCACTTTTCCCGATCATTACAAGTTGAATGCTTTTTGAATCATTCAAATCGGTTGCTCCGTTCTTTCAAAAACTCGATTTCTATTTTCTGCACTTTTTGCTCAATGTCTCCGAAACGGCTGGACCTACCTTTGCCAAAAACTAATCAGCACAAATCCCCATCAATAGGAATCTAATGTTTTTTGAATCATTCAAATCGGTTGATCAATACATATATACACACACACATAAACATTTTTTCTGAGTTATGCCTAAATGTTCAGAAACCTTCAAAACGTCGAGAAATGCAAAAAATTTTAATTTCGATTTTCGGACGATTACAATAACTTACCCTACGGGAAGTTAATAAAAAATAAATCCTTTTTTAAATATAACTAATAATGTAACCTTGTATATTCGGGAATATTTTTTTTAATAACAATACTTAGTGCGTATTGATAATTGGTAATATTAAGTCTGTTCAATAATAATTTTAAAAAAAATCTGTGATTGACTTGATTCAAGAAATCAATTTTATTTATTCAAATTGACAAAACTTGCAATTTATTTTTAACTTCCCGAAGGAGAAGAGAGGTATATCACTGCATTACCCAATTTTTATCTGTCATATTTTTTTTATCAGCAACCAACTCAGAGCATGCCCCAAATATCGATGCCAAACTCGTCCCCTGGTGCAGGAGCACCAAAGAAAAATTTCATGGACCATGACCCCTTCACCGGAGAAGACTTTTCCTCAAAAAGTTCCAAAGTCGAAGATTCCACTGACGGAAGTAAAAAAGACAGAAAGATTTCCGACGGGAGCAATTCTGGCGGCAAACAGACCGCCAGTGGCGGCGGAGGCTCTGGCTGGTTCGGGGGCATCTGGAACAGACTGTCGATGAAGCCGAAGAATCAGATGATTTTGCCTGATGATAAAAACCCAGCGGTAAGTGGAATGAAAATATTAGTAGTGATAGTTTGATTAACTAACTAGCTGACCCGGCAAACGTAGTTTTGCTAAGTAAGATATATTCTAAACAATTACTAGAGAATAAAAAATATTAATGTTTTAAGTGTATAAGGATGTGTTGTTGTTTGAATGCTATATATTAAAATGAGGCATTATAAATACAATAAACCCCAATTAGTTTGTCTATATTTTGTCAACTGGAAGTTTTATACACTTTCTATAGAAAACATGGTATAATACAATCCAAGCCATTTTTGCATGGTATTTCGATTTATTGATTAAGTTTCAAGTGTTTTCAGATTCTTTTTGCATTCTGGATTTTGTGTATAATTGTAAATAATACTACTGAGCTTATACAAAATTTTCAAATTTCTGCGAGGAGAGATAGAAAATGAATTGAGTATTTCTTCTTTGACCTGCTTGTTGAAAAGTTTCAAGTAACATTCGATGAATTAAAGTAAATTTAATAAAAAGTATAAATGTAGAGTAGGGCGAGGCACAAAGGTCCAATTTGACTTTGAGCAAATATTAATTATATTGTGATAACCATAACAATTATATCACAACAAATAACACATTTCAAACGAACAATTATCTGACTACGTTCAGTAAAACTGCCAACTACTTGTAGAAATGTGCTTTTTTGTTGTCTTTCAAAAATTTGTTATCTAGACCTTTTTACCCTATAGACGGGCTAACTTGGAACGGCCAGGTGGCAAACAGGTTTAATGTCTTATTTTAATTTTAAAAGTATTTTACAAAATAATTTCATTTTTAACTAATGCTAAAAAACTACCAACGGAAGAAAATGCTTTTATTATGGATTTTCAAATATTACCGTTTATCTCCCGATAGCATGGTCATGAGAATCAAGGTTAAAGCTCATTATACATCTTTTTCCCTCTACTTTCAAATATCTTTGTTAAACAATGCTTAACTTTACTGGTTTTTGACATATCTTACATATTTTGACATACCAGTGGTGGACCTTTTTAACCCCGGACTTTTATATATTACTATCTATTCTTTGATAAATTCTGGGAAATTATAACTGGGAAAATGTTATTCGACAAAATGTCCTTTTGATCGATACCAAATTTAAATAATATAACCTAAAATATGTTTTATATATACCATTGAGTATATAATTATACAAATGAGATCTTTCAGAGCACCGTGTTTGAGAAAAATATGCCAAAAAGTGCATTTTCATATTAACATTTCAAAAAAGTTGATATTTTGAGTCTCTAGTAACACTTGCGGCCCGTTTACTAACGTTTTTGTATATAAATATAACTACAAGCAAAACTACTTACTTCAATTAAATAATATTCACGTAAAACATCCTATTAAACGTAATTGAACATCATCTGTCAAAAACATTTGACATTTGACGTATTAGCCGCCGTCCATTTTTTTATTCAAATTATGCCTCTACAAAAATGTTCAAATTAAAAATGTAAAGTTTCTACGCAATTTTGAAATAATATCTCACCTTTCCGACAACCTACTGATTAGCACGAACTTTTCAGGACTAAGACTGGCCAAATCGGTTTAGCCGTTTTCGAGTTTTAGCGGATCATTTTAGCGAGAGCTCCATTTTTATATATATAAGACATTATCTTTTCTAGATCGTTTGGGATCCAGTGAAGAAAAAGTGGATAAATTCAGAAGGCGGTGAAGACGAATCGAACGGGGACCTCAAACCGCCTCCGAAATTGGCAGATTTGATGCCTTCTCCTCAACCTCAACCTCAACCTCAACCTCAACCTCAGTTGAATGAACCTCAAAACTCGATTCCTCAAATTAATTATCCGCCTCAATCACCTTTGATGATGAATACTGGAAATGGTAGCAACGGTGTTAAGGAAGAAGTGGTTAAGGCTGAGAACAAGACTCCTTCTTTGCAGTCGAACATGTACAAGATGCAGAGGAACAGGAGTAAGTGGAAATAGACGGATGAATATATATATATATATATATATATATATATATATATATACTAGATGTCCCGACAGACGTTGTCCTGCATCCATGTTACAATTTTTTAATATAATATACTAATATTTACCGTTTACCTAAAAATAATAATGCATGTTTTTTAAATTACTTTTCACGCCAAAATGCATATATGTACATTTATAATATGAGCGATGTTAAATGTACAACTGCTTTAAATAAAATGATGAGTCTCAATTCCCACACTACTTGGAAATTGAAGTCTTTTAAACGGTATAACATAACCATTACGATAACATAACACTGGTACTTCATGTTGGATTAAATTAATTTAATGTTTAATTATTTGAGATATCTAAAATTGTATTTTAAACTTCTCCTAATCGATATCGTGAAGGCCGAATTGTATGTATTCATCTCTACTTTCCCATTTGTTGTTCTAAAGTAAAATTTTTATGAATTTTAAAAATATTGTGGAAAGATTAGTAAAATATGCAAAGAAATTATATATTGAAAAAAAAACTATATTGAAAATTTAATATCCGAATCTTGTGTTGGCGCCCCCTAAGGCGTGCGCTCGTATTTTTTGCTTGCATCGCATTAAAGGTAGGACCGGCCCTGACTAATACTTAATTTCATATTTTAAGTGAATTAATTTGTCATATCTTGTTCATATGTGTATCATTCAATCTGCCATACATATACTGTATTTTATATTATTTTAATTTCTGGCACATCTCAGATGCTCTTTAGCAATAATAAT